TATTGAATTAGTAAGAGTTTGTATAGTAGATAAGCTGTCTAAATAAATGTAAATTGAATAGTTAGGAGGTAAAATAAGAAATAAAGAAATGAGTGCTGCTAGTTCTGTTCATGTTAAGTTTGGTGCAAGGTTTATAGAAGCATCTGTATAAACATGTATATTAGTTGGTTCAAGAAATAGTAATTTTTTGTAACAGTTTATAAGTTGGTTTTGGTATATAGGGTTTATTATTGTGTTTTGTATTAGGAGGATTTCTGAAGAAGTAGTGAAAGTGATGGTAGAGATTTTGAAGCTGGTTTATATAGATCTGCATAAATGTTATAAAGTGCTTTAATTTCTTGGTTGTTTATATTGAGTTTAAAGTTTAGTTTTCTTTTTTGTGTTTTGCATTTAATATTAATAGTTTGTTTGTAATTTATTTGAAGCATTGTTGATATAGAAGAAATATAGATTGTATTAGTTGTTGAATTTATAATTTGAAATTTTTGAAAAAAAATTTGAAAGTTAGATGTATTAGTTATTTTGCCAATATGTCAATCTGATAATGAAATGTAAAGTAACCATATGTTTTTCAAGTTAACAAGTTGGGATGTAATAAGATTTAATGTATTTAAAAATAGATTAATAGGTTGAAGTTGAAGATTAGGCCATGTGTGCAAAATAGATTGATCTGATATTTAATTTGAAAGTATTTTAAACCATTTTGGAGTAGGATCTCATAGGGGTTTGAGAGTTCTAAGATATATATTTTTTCAAGAAAAAAGATTGTGATTATCAGTTGTAAGTAATTGTTCTAAGAAAAGAATATTATTGTTTTGAGGCTTAAAGTTGTTGAGTTGTTAGGAGTTGTAATAAAATTATAAATGTTGTTTATTTAATTAATATGTTTGTAGGTTGTTAGTTGATTTAGGTAGGTGTTGTTAATAAAAATATTGTTTTTGTAGATTTCCTATAGTTAGTTAGAATTGTATCCTAAGTTAGAAATGGTTTCTATATTTTAAAAAGCCAATCCTTAACCTGATATATAGAGATTTGGTTTAGAAGTGTGTTAGTATTGAAGCATCTTTCTATATTATTGCTACTAACTTGTAGCATAAGTTTGTTGAGTGTTGAAATGTTGAATTGGTAAGTATATTATTGTTTGTATTAGTAGATAGGTGTAACATATATTTAGTGCATTTTGTTAGAAGACTTGATAGTTGTTGGAGTTTGTTTTGTAGAGGAGAACATATTTGAAGTAGATATTCGATTGATGGTAATAAAATAGTATTAAACAGTTGGGATATTTGTATAAGAAGAAGTTTTTTGTATTGGATAGTATAGATAAACTGGAAGGTTTTGTTAAAATTTTTTTTGAATATGGGTTTAGTAGAGCCTTTACCATCTAAAAATATTTCTAGATATCTTATTATTTCATTAAGTTTGCAATGTAAAATTGGTTCATTGTTAAAATTTAAAGGTGTTATATTTGAAGTGCTATTGAGTAGTATTTTTTTGTTGGGTAGAATATGAATAAGGTCTGATTTGGATAGGTTAACTTGAATATTGTTTAGTTAGTATAGTTCAGATATGTCATCTAGAATTTCTTGCAAATAATTTTTAGATTCGCAATGCCAGACTGTATTATCCATGAAGGCAAGAGGTAGTATTGTTGTATGAGTTGGTGTAGTTGAAAAAATTGTTTCTAAGGAAGATTGTGATGATATTTTAAGAAGTTTTGAACTGTATTTTGAGTTAATATAACTAAGAATAGAGTTATAATAGATTTTTCAGAGTAATGGAGAGTAGGTTTCTTCTTGTTCTATGCCTGAATAAAGTGTGATTGGGTCAGTAGAGCCATAGGCTGTAATTGCTCTGGCTTTCCTATCTTGGTGTAGATGTTCGATAAAATTAAGTCCAGATTAGGGAATGCTAATACATTTGCAAGCATTTAGTAAATGTTTAATATTAATTTTATCAAAAGCTTTGGACATGTCTTAAAAGAGTATCCATGCTTTTTTGTTATTAGTTTTGTAATGTTTTATTGTGTTAATTAATATTTGTATAAGAATATGTATAGAACTGTTTTTGGTTGCTGCAAAGTTAAGACCATTTAGTAGGTGATGTTGATTAATAATTTGATTAAGACATGTAGTAAAAATTTTTGTAAGACATTTTTTAATAGGTTCAATAAGAGAAATTGGTCTAACTTTATCTAAAGTAAAGTCTTATATAGATTTTTTTGGTATTAAGAAAATGTTGAATGTTTTTCATATTGTTGATATTTGTTATAATGAAAGGCATTTTGTTAGAAATAGTCAAATAATATTTTGGGCTTTGGAGTTTAGGTATTTTAAATATTTGTAGTTTGTTTCTGATAGACTTGCAGCTTTTTGGTTTGAAAAGTCATGTATAACTTTGTTCTATTTCTCTAAAGTAATTTCAGAAAATAGGTTGTTAAAAAGAGGTTCATTTTCTGGATAAGGTTTGTAGAATTCATAGAATTTTGAGTTTTCTTCTATTGGTATATATGGTAGTTTTTTAAAGTAGTCTTGAAAGTGAAATTGTAAAGCATGTTTTATTTCAGATAGTTGAGTAGTAAGTGTATTGTTAAATAATAGACAGTCTAAGTTGATACTATTATTTAGTTTTTTTAAAACATTTTGAAAGAAAATTTTTGGGTTTTGATAAAAGTTAACATTTCTTTCTTCTAGTTTGTTTTGAATTTTTTTAGAATATTTTCTTGTTTTTCTTTATAGATTTGTATTTTAAGAGTTTTTATTTCTGTAATAAGTAAGTTTGATAATGTAGTAGAGTCTGAGTTATTAGTAGTTTGTATTGAGTATGAGGCTGATAGTAAGGTGTTTTGTAAATATTTTTTGATGTATAGGTTGTATGTTTGTAAAAAGTTAAATTTATTAAAAGATGATTTGAGTAAGATTGCCTGTTTTAGTTGTTTGTATAGTAGTAAAAGTAAAGGTAGTTGTTGTTCATTATAATATAGATTAATTTTAATTCTTTTAAATAAAATGTGTTTTTGGGTTGCTTTAGTTAGAGCCTTGTTGATTTTATTTCAGATATTGTTAAGTTCTGAGCTATGAATAATGTTGGTAATGACTGTAAGGAGTTGTTGAAGGTTTTGTTTAGTATGACTTTGGTAGTTTTCAATTTGTTCATCTTGTATAAGTTTCTATTGATAGATGGTTCTTAATTGGAGTTGTTGTATATTAATTTTAGATATATTGATTGTAAGTTCGAGTAATACTATTGAGTGATCAGTTGTAGTAAATAGATTTAGTAAAATGTCAGCATAGTCTAAAAGTGTAATATGAATGTTAGTCTATATTTAGTCAATTCTATTATAACTGTTATTATGTATATAGGAGAATATGAAAGTTAATAGGAAGAAGAGTCTGTAGATGTCATAAAATTGAAAGGATTTGAGTATTTTTAAAAAAAAATATTCAGGTGTAGTTGAGCTTTTCTGTGGCAGTCTATTTAGTTTAGGATTTGGAACTCCATTTAGGTCACTCATTAAAATTATTTGTAGTTAGTATTATTAAAGATAGGAGTAAAGTATTGAAGAATGTTTTTTCAAAGTTGTTTTTTTTCTTAAGTTAGAAAGTAAAGTTGGATTAGTTTAATATGAAGGTTTTTGAAAAATAGATCAATTTCTAGAAGAAAGTTTTTGTATATCTGTATTTTTTCAATATGTTTCACAAGTAATTTGTAGATTAATATTCCTATACCACCTTGGTAAACATTACTTGGTATCCAAAAGCATTTGTAATTTAAAAGTTTTTGCAAGAGTATTGAAAACTTTGCTTCTTTGGTAGATAGATGTGTTTCTGAAATTCCAAAAATATCAATTTGATTTTCTGAAATAAAATCAATTAGACTCAGTTGTTTGAAGTTATCAAGAAGATCATTAATATTTAGTAAGTGTATTTTAATTGATTTTGTAATATTTGAATTTTTAGAAGGTAAGATGTTGTTGTTTATATATGTTATAATAAAGGAGAGTTTAGGAGATATTGGTGTTGTGAATAAAAGAGAATTTTGACATTTTGAGAGACAAGGTATTTTAAATCTTGTTGAAGTGTAATTTGTTTTGAATGGAACATTTTGAAAGTTTGTAAGATTTTCAAAAGAAATGTTAGTGAAGTTGGGTAGTGGATTAGTTTCTTGTAGAAGGTGAATATATACTTCTTCGAATATATTGTTTTTAGATATTTTAATAAAAATTTTTATATATTATTCTGAATAGTATTTTGGGTATTTATTTTAGATAAATTTTAGAAATAAGCCTATTGATTATAGTAAAGGTAGGAGTTGTAGGTTATAAAAGGAAAGGAATTTGTTGAAACATGTTAGAGGATTGTATATTTTTAAGAGATCTGAAATTTGGGTGAAGGTTTTTCTTTTAATAGTTTTGGTAGTTAGTAAGTCAATAGTATCATTTGGATCTTCTGTTGATGATTCATAATCAACATTAGTAGTTTTAAAGTTTGTTAAAGTATTGATAAAAATGTTAGGTATTTGTGTTTTTTGAGAAGTAGATATAAAAAATTTTTCTGAAGGAGAATTCTCAAAAGGATATGATGAGTTGTTATCTGAGAAGTTAGATTTTCCTTCTATAGATATGCTTGCCATATACTTGGTTTTCACAGTTGCAGAGGATACTATAGTCTGTTCTGTATATTGGATCTGATCGTCATTAACTTGGTCCTTCATGTAAATAGGCTTTCCTGCCTGCCTACTTATATTATTCTCTTTCAAAAATGGCATACTTTTAGTAATAAAAATTATTATTTTGAAAGTGATAGCTGTATTAATGTTATTTATAGAAGGATTTATTGAAAAAGTGAACTAAAGATAGCAATTGAGGATAGAAAAAGAGTGTCATCATGTATAAAAGAGATTTTAAAATTATAATGTTTAATGATCAATTTTTTTGCTTCTAAAAGGTATTTTTAATCATAATCGAGTTGAATTTGTGTAATAGAGAATTTAGATTGGTTTTAAGTATAAAAATAAAGAATTATGCATACTAAGATATGTGGATTAATAGTAGATAAAATGAATTTTTCTAAAGCTTGATTAAGTTCAAGACCTATAATATTGTCATTTATAGCTACAGTATTTAAATAAGCTTTGAGATAAGAGTAAAGATAAAATGTAGTACATTTAGAATTAGTTTCTGTAACATTGATTTCTGCAAACTTTTGGTCTGCTTTAAGTATGAGTTCATTTAGTATATGAAGTGGAATAGTTTTTTTGAAAGTTACTGTATATTGTTAATTTGGTAGAAAAATTGAGTAGTTAAGAGTAAAAGGTGTTGTTTTAGAAGTAGTATTTTCTTTTAAAAGAGCTGGAAAGGTTTCAAAGAATTTGTTAAAGAAGTAAGTAGAAATATTTTTAAAGTTGTATTTTGTATCTTTTGGTAAAAGTTTACAGTCTTTGTCTTTGCATGTATGAACATGAAAGAGTGCTGTTTTGATAATTAGAAAAGAGTGATTTTGAAGAGAAGTAGGTTCTGTAATTTGAAAGTCTAAAAATAAGAATTTTTTGCATTTCTTAGCAAATATGGTTGCAATTTGGTATTTAATGTAGTTTTTAATTTTGTCTTTATTAATATTAGTAAATTGTTTTTGATAAGCTTTAAAGAGGTCTGTATATTATGTATTGAAAATATGAATATATAGTTTAAATGATGAGATTCGAAAAGTATTAGCAAATTTAGATTTAGAAATGTTAAAAATAATAGTAATTGTAAATCAGTTATTGCTATAGATACTGAATAAGGGTTTTGAGACATCATATTCAAAATTATATTTTATTGAGAGTCTAAGAGAGTAAAGCTCTAACTTTTTAATAAATTTTTGATAATGGATTGTTTGGTATTTGTTATGAAGGAATAGATGTAATTAAGCAAAGTTGATTATTACTTTATATTGATCAGAAATTGAATAAGATGAAATCGAGTAATAAGAATAAAAGATATGTAAATAATCAAGTTTTGTGAAAAGTAGTTCAGTAAATTTGGTAAATAGATTTTTAAGTGTTAAGATATAAGCATATTAAGAGATATTAAGTTGAGGAGAGAGTAATGGATTAGATTGGCAAAGGAAGTTAATAAAAAATTCTAGTCTTTCTACTACCATAGATTTGAGTAAATAATTAAAATTTTGTTTTTGAGAAGGTTTTTGATTTGAAGTTGATTGAGTATTATTTGGAATAGATGGGATTAGTTGGCCTGGAATAAATTTACAAAAATGAATTTTAGAAAAATTAAAAAGTTATTGAGTAAATTTTGTATTAAGTTTTGTATTTTGTTTCATATTTTCAATAATAGAGTAATTAAGAAACTAGTCTAAATCTTTAGAAGTATCTCTGGTTTGGTTTGGTGTATTTTTTGGTTACTATTATTTTTGTTTTGATTTAGGTTGTTGTTTAATTTTTTTGTTTCTAAGAACAAGTTTTTGAAGAAGTTTAATTTTTTCTTTTTTGCTAAATTTGAAAAAATAATAAAGATAAAAAATAGAACATTGTTCTTTAGTAAGTTCTTTGGTTTAAAAAAGAAGTTTAAGTTTAGTGTATTGGAAACTATTAACACAGTCATGATGATATAAGAAACCTTTAAAGATTATAGTTTAAGAATAGTCAGGTACATAATGTGAGTTTTGAATAAGAACACAAGGAATATCTTTCTTTTTATATAAGATACATGAGTAATAGTATTGAAAGTGTGGAATAATTGCTACAGATGATAGATCTGTATAAAAAGAGAATAATAAAATTTGAGAAATTGATTGAAGACTTTGTTGTTGTTTAATAATAGGTGATTTAGGTAGTTTGTTGACAATGTTATTAAATCAGTTTTTAGAAATGACAATAGTTGAAGAAATATCTATTGCAGTTGATTTGAAAGTTTGTCAAAGAGGTGTAGTATAAGTAGTTTTATAATGTTTAGAAGTAAAGTAAATATAAAATTTGTTATAAAGACAAGTGGATAAGATAGGTTGAGTTGGTATTTGAAAGTAATGTTGTTGCTTATTAGTTTCACATTTGATAGGTTTAACATTTTTGAATAAAATGTGTAAAGTAAGTGGATCAGATTCTTTGTTGCCAATACCAAAACGATCTGGATATTTGTTATAATAATAGTCTAAGTTATGAGAATCAGATTTGTCTAATTAAGATAGGCATTCTAATTTATTATTTTTGTAAAAATATTAAAAAGAATAACAATAGCTTTAAAAGAAAATAATTTTTAGTTTGTGTAATGTTATACTCTTTGTATTACTTTTTTGTAGCTGGTCTAATAGTGGCTAGTGTAACTGGTAGCTAATATGACTTGTAGTACAGTATAGCTTGTGTAACTTCTGCTAAAAATAGTATAAAATATACACAATGTTGTGTAATTTTAAAATTAATACAAATTTGTAATTATTTGTTTTGTATAAGTTAATTAAAAATTTAAAAGGAAATAGTTGTAAAATAATTATCAATTGATTAAACCAATGATTTTTAGTATTTTAAAATATGTTTGGGGTCTGGATTTGAAGAGGGTAAAGAGAAAAAAACTAAATTTTTAAAAAATTTTTAAAATTTTTAGAGAATATAGCTGCTTGGAGTTTTTTGTTTATAAAATAGTCAATTTTTAATTGTTTTTGATGAAACTTATATCAAATTAAAACCTAAGATGAACTGAACAATTTTGTTTTAAGGGACAAGACAAGTTTCCTAAGTTGGATTTGAGTATAAGTGCTTTGAAATTATTTTAGAATAAAGTTAAATAATTTATTTAATATTTGAGCTAGCAATGTAAAATTTTGTAAATATATGTAAATTTAAGTAATGAACAGTTTAATATAATTTTTAAGAATATTTAGTTATAGTTTATTAAAGAAAATAAAATTTTTCTTTAGCAGAATTTTGGTACAAGTGATCATCAAGAAGAGTTAGCAATTTGTGTTTCTGAAAGGTTGATAATTTTTGTTAAACATAAAAATTTAAAAAAAGATTCATGAAATGTATAATGCATAATAAAATCCACATATTCAAAAAAAATTTTACTTGCAGAAGTAATTTTCAATATGCGTACCACAGTTCACATATAGATTTTGAATACTGGTTATGCATATCAAAAATAGATAGATACATAAATATATGTTATAAATAAAAGTATAGATATTTCATGAGCTAAATTACTTTTTCTTGTAAAATACTTATCAGCTTTGGTCTAGATATTTTTAACTTGATAGTTATTAATTAGGATTACGATTTTAATTGGTTAATGTATACCCAGGTTAAATGCATCCTGAAAATCGACGATCAGCATATCTAAAATTAGTGACAAATCGAATTTGGGTTATTTTGGTTACACAATCTTAAATCGTTGTTTACTCAAAAAAATTTCTAGTGCCGTAGGGTCATTTTCAAGACAAAAACCCTTTATTTATTTATGCTCCGGACTTATATCAGCTTCCGATTCCTAGTAGTATTCGAATATTGTTGTGTCAAAGACCTATAAGAAAGATTTCTCGGTCCTCTTTCGACCCTATCCGGATCCGATAAAATCACAGGATCTCATGTAACAGAACAAACGCGAAAAACATAAGAAATTGTAAAAAAAAACGTAAATAACACAAAAATTTACTATGATGACTAACTTCCGACCTTTAAGTAAAAGTTTTTAGGATGAAATTTTACTTAGAGGACACGATTGTTAATGTTAGATATATAGAGAATTTTTGATATACTACGACCCATATCTTTTTGACCGGCAGCTCGGGATTTTTTTAAGGAAACTCCACTAAATCGGGCTTGTGGTTATACCGGTTTATAATATTTTGCCCAACTAAATTCGTTCATTTTAGCTGTCCTAGTTCAATAATTCAAAGGTATCTATTTTCAAAGTGTACACTTAAGAATTAAACCATTTGTTGTTTTACTAACCTGCTTACTGTTATTGAGCTTGATTCTCTGTTTTTATACTGTCACCGTCGTAAGGGAGATCTTCCATCAATCATGCTGAGTTTAACTCCAATGGTCATAGGCAGATTGACTGATGTAAACCAATTGCTCGGGTAATTTATTTATACAGTTTAAAGTACTTGTTGAGAACGTAATGTTTCACTAACAAAAAAACACTGTAAAAGCCATTTCTAACTTCGAAAGAATGTCTATATTCATTATGCAAAAATAATCAGAAATAATCAGTAACCTCAAGAACTTCACTTAGAAGCGAATACTTATTGTAGTACTACGTAGTCATATTAACTATATGTAAACTCTAATTTCTGGAATGGCCAAGTTTAAGACGTTATGCATAAGATCTAAATCAATGAACTTTGTTAATACCGTTTAATATGTTATTATAACAACAAGCATATACTAATGTTCTTATTTTATGTATTCTTAATATTATAGAATTGAAACTTCGGGTTAAGTAGTAGGTCAATAATATATATATGAGTATTATTGTTTCATTAATTACATAGGTTAAAAGTCGTGTTGTATCTACATGGTAATAAAGATTAATTTTTTCAAAAGATAATTAATAAATAAAAATAGTTTCGCTAGTAATTTATTCACTTATTAACTCTTTAATGGGTTCAGGTTTTTATAATTAATATTACATTTATCCCACTTTACGCATATTTATCTGTTTTTCTAACTTTATGTGATAAATTCTTTGTATATAATTATTGGTTTGTAATCTTCTTTTAGCGAAGTTTACCTTTGTCTTCTAGCAGTATTAAAATGATAAACGTTTTAAAAACTATGTAATTTGATTGTTAATTATCTCGAGCAAACTATTTAAAGTTAAAAATGCTAATAAAATTAGTAAAATTGATAAAATTAAATACAGCGATAGGAGCAAACAAAGAACTTATGCGAAAACAGTTTCATCTGCAACTCTGTCTGGTTTTGCGTGACAACGTCGCGCAGCTACTTATTTATTAATTAATTTAACTAAGTGTAATATATTGAAAATAATTCGTGAATCACGAATTAACACGAGTACAACCAATAATACTACATTATAATTCTAAAGTATACGTATGTCAAACTTTTAAAATCACCATCTTATTCTAAATAAAAAAACGCTTTACCCTAAAAGCTCTTAAATTTAACTATAAATACTAATCTTTATATAAAAAATTTAGGCAAAAAATTTATATACAAAATTTATAAAAATGGGAAAATGTATTAACAATAATAATAGATGCCAGCTTTTCTGCCCTTGTGAAAAGAGATAGATCAAAAATAATCGATGCTACCCGACTATATTTAGTGTATTATTTAGAGTTGCTGGTGAAACTGGTAAAAACTCTTGATGAATAGTAAATGATAATGAAACGGATAGAGATGTGCCATCACACACTTATCAGTGCGAGGTGTTAACTAATGATAATGATATGAAAATCACAACGAACAGCCCTAAAATCACCAGTCTAAAAAATTTCGCAACCAATCAGATTTCAAGACCTTGTGTAACGCAAAGGAAGCGCAAAAGAATCAAAATAACAAAAAAACGCCTATAGCTTAAAATTTTGCTTATGAAAGTGCCTTCTGCGTATTAAGAAAAAGTTTTCCTCATGAAATTTTACTATACCCATAACCCTCTAAACCAAACGCTAACCTACTAGTAGGACCCTAACCCTAAACTAATAGCGAAAATTTTTTTTGATATGTTAATGTTAGAAAATGCTATATGATCGAAATTTTTTTGCCTGGTGATACTAGTCTTATAATCACAACGGATGTCAATAATTATCTAAGTTAAAATATGTGCTGATTAACACTAAGTGCATTTAATGTAGCAGCCAATCAGATTCTGGATAATCATCAGTTTTAACAAACATCCCGATATTCCGTACGTCAATTTATATGTCAAATAAGAACAAGTTGTAATAATAACAATAAAGATCCTAGTTTTATTTAAATTGTTATATAAACTTATATAAAAGAATGTCAAGGATATCTAAAGTTAAATAAGAATACATATTTAAAGTCGAGAACGAATTATATAAATTAATTTTTTTATCGATTTATCTATAAAAATTTAAGTACTGATTTGAATGGTTCAATATATACAAAATTGTTATAATTAATTATAATCAAACGTTACAGTCAAATTTTGTAATTCGTTATCTAAAGTTGACATAGTATGCTCAGTATAAGGAATAAACTTGCTTCCTCCGCTAAACATATTCACGTATGATTCATCGACAATATCATGTTTTATTTCTGATTCGTTCAATTCCAATAAAATATCTTCATTCTCTTGCCATTTCTTGAAAGTTTCACAAAGCTTTTCTACTGATGGTCGTTTTTCTGAATCATTGTCCCAACATTCATTCATCAGATTTACATAACATTGTGGCGCTTCTTTATTAATAAAAGGCCTTAAACCCTCACATATTTGAAACTGAAGTTGCAACTTAGTAAGTTTTTGATTATAAGATACTGATATTCCATATAAAATTTCCCACATTATTATCCCAAATGAATAAATATCTGACGCTGTAGTATATTGATTACCGGTCAAAATTTCTGGAGCAATATATGGCAAAACTCCAAAAATCCCCTTTTCTACATTTCTTTCTGCATTTATTGATGTTAAACGTCCTAAATCTGCAATATATGCACTATTTAAATTATTTAACAAAATATTTCCACTATGTAAGTCTCTATGAATAAATCCTCGAGAATGAATTATTTCAAGATCCGAGACAATACAATGTAATAAAGTCAACTTATTTTGCCACCCACTTTGTGCTATTAAGGAAAGTTTATCGTACAAGGAACCCATAGGTGCATATTGCATTATAAGACTATACTCGCGAAAATTATAAAATCTTGTTATTCCAAAGCACTTTAAGAACGTCGGATTTTCATTGCCAAGATCACAATATGCTTTTAACTTTGTTTTTAAAAAAGAAAAAAGTTAAAATATAAACTATAAATATGTTAAAAAAAACAAATAAAACTACCTCTTTTACAAATTCTTTATTAAATGATCCACGAATCCGTTTAATTGCAACAAATCGTGCAACACGTTGTTTTTGGTCTTTCCAATAAGCATGGTATACGGTTGCAAATCCACCTTGCCCTATCTTTTGAATATCTCTAATTTCATCAAAAGGAATCCAGGATATTGGATATTTACTTTCACTCAATACTTCTTTTATATCATCATCAATACGACTATTACTATTTGAATCATTAAATACTTTCTTGTTTGTTGCTAATTAAAAAACTTGATTAATAATTTAATTATTTGAAAGATAAACATAATTTTTATTACCTAATATTTGTTTTCGTTCTCTAAATTTATATATTTGTTTGATATAGTCAAAAAAAAGGAATATTAAATTGTGATAAAAAATAGATAACTTACATTTGGTACCACTCATTAGCTTTTTGTAAGTCTCTTGTTATTCCAATTCCATTTCGATAGCAATAACCAACATGAGACATAGCAATAACATCACCCAAATCAGCAGCTTTTTGATAATAAATGAATGCTTTATGTTCATCCTTTTCAACCCCGATTCCATGTTGATAACAATATCCAAGGTTATTTAATGCAAAAATATTTCCAATCTCAGCAGACTTTTGAAACTGAACGAATGCCATATGTTCATTTTTTTCGACTCCGATTCCATTGAAATAACAACATCCAACATTATACATTCCTTCAGCATCTCCTATATTTGAAAGTTTTTGATTAATAATAAATTTTGCTTTTAATTTATACTTTGTTCCTTCATGGTCTTCCTCCTCACTATCACTATCACCTATGATACGCATTTTTGAACAAGCATGAACATGAAAAATATCGGTATAGATTTATTTAAATCAGTATTAGAGGATATGTCACACGAACTACAATTCTGGAAGAGTCTTGCTTGAAATGGGTCAAAAAATGAACCATTCGGCTATATTTAATTTTACACAACATTAGCGTTAGGCCACCACCAATGCTACCGTATTCTTGTTTTAGCGTAACTACGCTTCGTAATTACTTTAAGTGTCTTAAGCTCCACTTGTCTAAATGATCAGATCGGCTTGGATGTCACGCGACCAACAATTTTTTATCATAATCTACCTAATTGCTTAAATCATAATCATTAGAGGATTAAATTTAAAGAATGTAAGCGATTGTAATGCAATTAACTCGTTTTTTATGTCGATCTTATTGAAATATACCCTTTATATAAATTTTTTACTAACGCTAAAGGGAAAGAAAAATATTAACTTATTTACGCGAAATAATGCTCGCAGCATTAATTTAAGAGATGCAACATAAAGATAATATAATAATTTAATTTAATACGAATCATAGTTCTATTTTAAAAAGTCTTCGATGAAACTAGTTATTAATTCTCTTAAATTGCGCGCCTCCCAATAACAAACACCCTTGAATATTCTATAAGAAAAAGGTTACTACATAAAGTAAACGTAAATACTAAAAATTATCTCTTTAACAAATTTTATATTTATTATGATAAAGAAGCTATAAAAATTAGGTATATCTCAGAATTATAATAATTTACAAATACAATACAAAAAAAAAAAAAAAAAAAAGAAAAATCTAATCGTTTGTTTGTTGTACAGAATTTATAATATCGTTATCTGATTGGTCGATTACTTGTAATATTGGTGGTATTATTTTTTGATGAGTCTTTTGATTTTTTAATTCTTCTTTTCTAGCTTTTTTCTTTGCTATTATATCACTTGCTCTTATTTGTCTAACGATATCCAAATCATCCGGATAAAACCATTGTTTGGCAAAGGTTATTACGTATCGTGGTAAACCAGATAATAAAATCGAAAATGCCATTCCAAACCAAAATATACCATCACTAAATAACTGTTCAGCTATTCCATATATTGGACTTTCTGGGAAAAGACCATACATAAGAACATAAACAAAAATAAAAACAAGTTCAACAGTTATTACTGCCCATGTTATCCAACTCCAACGATATGTGTTAAAGCAAACAGAAAGGTTTGCAATAACAACTACAGTTATAGCAACTGCGGTTGAAAACTCGATGTTACCAGCATCGTACCCTTCTGACGTGGTGACATTAGTAGATATTGAATATATAGAATAAAATGTGAAATATACAACCAGTGACTGCCATATTCCATCAAGAAAATATATTGCAAATAATTTTTTAGAATAACGCATTTTTCTTATTCCCAAACTATATATGATTGGATATTTTAAGCAATATAATGCACTAACTGACTGATCAGTTGTCCCTTTAAAAAACAAAAACAAGACAAAAAATTAGTGAATTTCATAAAACAAGCAAAACACTGAAACAAACTTTACCTAAAACTACAACAGGTGCGACAGTAAAAAACAGATTATATAGTTGTACAAAACTATAATCATAGAAAATGTTGGCGGAGAACCTAAATGACAAGATACGTAAAATTATTATTAGCAGGCAATTAATAAGCGTATATAGAATAGTGTTGAAAACAATAGAATATAATTTTTATAAATAGAACAAAAAGTTGTCAACTACTAATTATAATTAGTATAAGTAGTAATTGATAAATAGCACAATAGAAAAATAGAATAAAATAATAGAAACTATAATAGAATAAACAATTGACAACTCTGATATAGAAATACTCACATGCAATAGATTTGGTACCATAATACCGGAAATACCCATATTACGTTTTTATAAAAGAAATTTAATATCATCTCTGAAATACGCATGTAATCCCAATGACCATGTACAAGTAAAAGTTTGTTAAGGTATCGAAATTGGGCAATATTATAATCAGCTGCCATTGCCGCTTGCACACCTATACGATTAGGAATAAAAATTAAAGCTGGCAATAGTACAAACTTTTAAAAATGACAAAGTATTTGTTCAAAAAATATTACCTTCTTGTCCCGAAATGCCAACACCAACATTAGCGGCTTGAATCATGCTCACATCATTTGCACCATCACCTATGGCTAATGTTGTGGACCTTTTTCCTGTTCGAACTAATTCTACCACCAGGGCCTTTTGTAAAGGACTAACTCGACAACATATTACAGAATGAAAACGATCAGATAATTCAAGTATTTTCTGACGTGCTTTTTCATCGTCCAGCAGATGAGTCAAAGCAGAACCATCGATTATAAAAGCATGTGTATCATCAGGATGTACGGGTTCCATATCATCTTTTTGTTCAACATTACCAGATATCAAAGACGCATAAACATTCTCAAATTGTTTTATAACAGTATCCTTTTTTCCTTTTACAATCCATAGTCTCATTTCCTTTGTCAATAAATGAGCTGCAAACCCAATATTAATAGCAGTTTCTAACTTGTCACCTGTCAAAACCCAAATTTTAATTCCCGCACTTCGAAGACTTGCTATACAATCCGGAACGCCCTCTTGAAGTTTATCTTCAATTGCAGTAGCACCCAAGAGGATAAGTTCCCTTTCAATTTCGTCGGAACAAGCATCAATTCTCGAAGAACGATCATGAATGGAGGTTGATGCTTCTTGATATTTTGATGACCAGGAATTATAATAGGATTCATTCAGTACTCTATATGCCAAAGTCAATGTCCTGAGACCTTAAGAATAACAAATAACCTTATGAATGAATAATCTTTCTATTGAAATGGTGAATTTAAATATAGGGATGGCAAAAGTCTGTTCCATAGAAACTAAGTTCAAATAATATCATGTGAAATCTCTAAACGCAAGTTTCGAACATATTTTGCACGTATGCATGTACGTACGTATGTGCGTATGTACATGTTTTATCATTTTAGCACAATCATGCACAATAGCACACAATCGCGCACAACATTGCACAATAATATACAATAATGGTAGTACTATTATAGCAAAGTCTCGGCTTAAAAAACAGTAATCTGTTTGGGGATTTAAATCCTTTGGAACAGTCTTTTAAATTTATATTATAAGGCCGCACAAATTTAATATATTGATTTTTATAACATGAAACTTTTAAACGGACCTTTTTTTAAAAAAATTTCATATATAAAACTTTAAAGTTTTGTTATTAAAACATATGAAATTTTTTTTACAAGTTTCAAACTTTGACCCGGCCGGGTTATGAAAATCAATTAATTAATTTTGCGTGGCATAATTTAGAACTAGGATCGGATTTTCAGTCAAATCTTTAAATAAAATAGTTTCAAGATCCAACCTTTGGAATCCGACCTTTGGAACCCAACCTTTGGAACTATTTTTCCATCCCTAATTAATATGTCAATAGATAAACTTACCTTCATTAGAAAAATCATCAATATCAGCAGAAGTCTTTTCAATTAATTCTTCTTGACCGTTGGCTAAACGTTCAAAGATAATGTTATCCGCACCCTTACAAAATAGTACTATGCCACCACCTAATTGTTCAGGACGACGAACTATTATACTCATTCTTTTACGTGAAGAATTAAATTCCAAAACATTTAATATATCAAAAACGTGTTCTTGACCAAAAATGTCAATAGTCATTGATTCAGTTGTTCGACCCAAAAAGGCGAATCCAACATTTTTTGCAGCAGAAACTAAAGCAGCCTCATCTGGAGATTCAGCTTTATATACAAGGTTATGTACCAATGTTTTATCAATTGGATCAGATTTTTTCCCTTTGTTTGCTGAAGGAGATACTAAACTTGCCACTGATTCGAACCCTTTAAAAGATGATTTGATATTTGAAATCGAATGTTTGACTTTTCTTAAATTAAAAGGTGAATTATTTGGCGAAAGTTTTTCTTCTACTGGATTTAAATTAGGATCGTTTGTCTGATCTGATTGTATATCATCTACGGATGTTTTGTCTTTGTCACTAATACTCTTTTCACTGTCAGATTCATTAGTAATTTTATCTACAACTACGGTATGACATACAGCCAATAACGTAAAAAATTCTCTAACAAGTCGGGCTTTTTTTTGTTTATCTAAATTATCATCAATATTAAATTCACCATCCTCATCAATAGTTTTCTCAGCACGTAAATCTTTAAATATATCCGGATCCACGAATGTCAAGAAATTAGGATCAGTACTTGAATATTTTGGATTAAATATATTTTTCATTTCAAGTAAATATTGATCCCAAATCTCATTTTTTTTGTTATCAGAAATTCCTTCATTAAATTTATTACCACCTTGAGCTATTTCTTTTCCGATACTAGCGTCAGTTTTATCAGCCCAACCATTTCGACCATATACTTTACCACCAATAGAACATTGACGGAATTCCATTATATTACGTGTTAAAGTTCCAGTTTTATCAGAAAATATATATTCAATTTGACCAAGATCATCTGAAAGATTCCACTATTAATGAATGATCAAAGTTGAAACATTATGTAAATATTTACTAGGTATAAAATTCCGAAGGACAGTGCTTATAAATGATCTGCAATAATTAACCAATCAGAATTGAGAATTGGATAACACACATAATGTCCTTCGGATAATTACTTTACAAATAAAGAATCAAATTAATCGCTTACTGATTTTGGAACACATGGAATCTCAGCATCATCATCCCACATTTCAAGGTCATTGTAAATAAAAAAAGCCTAATTAATCAAAACAAAATTCGTGAACCAATGTTAATAAATCTAATTAATTTAATAAATTTAATAAATTTAATAAATTTAATAAAATTATTCAATTTAATGAAACGTACCTGAAAACCTTTTACAAATTCAATTGAAATATATAAAGAAATTGGAATTATATTTTGAAAAATAATCAGGCCTGAGCTGTATAATAAGATATGTAATAAGTTTTTATAAAGTTAACATTATTAAATTAATATTAAAAAAAAAACTTACAAAAAGGTTAAAAAAGATGCGAGTGAAATTGTCTGTTGAGTATTAGAAGTAACACGTTCTTCGATTTTGCTACCCCTTGCATTAAACAAAAGTAATGCCGATACACCACTTCCAATAGAACAAATTAAGGCAAGAATAATGAGAATTACAAAATTTAAAATGACCTAATTTTTTTTTAACAACAGGGAAAGAAAAAAACAACGATCAAACGATGTAATATAAAGTTATTCAAAACAGGAGCAATAAAGATTCAAACCAACCATTTTAAATGCTTAAGTATAAACGTACTTCCTGATTCATTTCTTTTTCTATTCTACTTCTCTTACTTGGAGTTTCACCAGAATTAAGCATAATTTTAGTTTCGATACCGGTAAAAACAGTTATAGCAATGACCCATTCAGTATTTCTAATAACATGAGCACGTAATAATAAATTATTTATATCAACAGGGATAGCGGTTTTTGATTTTATTCTAGGATTTTGATTTTCAGAAGTGATAGAAGTGAAATCTTGATCTTGTAATGGATCCATTTCGGGTAAAACGGAGACTACGGTTAATTTTGCATTATAACTGAAGAGATTAGAATTTGGAGGTTCAGAATCAACCCAAAACATAGCTTTTGAACAATCTTCAGGAGATTTGATATGATTTAAAGCATCAGTAGAAACACATCTACGAGGTTTAAGATTAGTTTCACCATCAAGATCTTTAGTTTCTACGTAACAAGTACCATTTTGCTCAGAAGTTGATAAAATTATGGCATCAGCGGGTACAGCATCACCATTTTTGAGAAATAAAAAGTCACCAACACGAACATCTTTCCACATAACTTTTTTAAAGTCAGGTTGACCATTTATTTCATTTGAAGGTTTAAACGGAATATCATCATTGATATTAGAATTTTGAGGATTCCGAGGTTTTAATTTGTTCCAGTTAAAAAAAAGGTTTATTCTAAGTAATAAAGATTTCCATAGAGAAAGTTTTTTTTGATCGGGATAATTTACATTAATAAAATTTTGTAAAAGATAGCAAGTAGCACTATTATATTTATCATCAATTTGATGACGATTCAAATCTTCCACAGCATCTTTACAAGCAGTAAGAAACACAACAGTTGAAAGAGGAAGTAAAGTCAAAACAGGGGAATTTGTGCTAATGGCAGGTATCATTCCAAGAACAGCCATTATTAAGAAATACATGTTGGCGGCTCTCCGGAATTGTTCGAACAAGTTTTTTGGAAGAAAAGTCCATATATTATACTTTGAAGTGACGATCTTGTTTGAGACATATTTACCCTTTGGTTGACCTTTACGGTCAGGTATAGGTATATTGACAAATATTTGACGGTCTTTACAAATTGGAATTCTATTTCTTATTTTTGATTTTGTTCGTTTTAAATATTTATTTCGTGAATCGTTAACACCACCATTTTCACTTGAAAGACTTTTTTCGCTTATAGCTTCTTGAGCTGGAAGCAGAGTAATATTTGTAGTGGTAGTGGTCATATTAACAGTAAAGAAGTAATAAGGGAGTGGCTTAAAAGATAAATAGGTTAAAAATAATAGTACGTAGTAAATACTTCTAAACTGTATAAAAGAATTTTTCTTGTAGACGAGGAGTAAGAAAAATTGTACTTGTAGGACAAGGACAGATTTAGTTCTATATAAACATATGCATTTTATTTATTAAGGAGGAGTTCTATTTAGAAGGTTGTTTAGACTAACGTTATTTTTAAACAATGTAATATAAAAATTTTTATAAAATTTCTAAAAATGAATCATCTGAATCATCTGAATCATCTGGATGTTCTATATATAAACATTCATGACTAAAAAGGAATTATAATATCGATCAAGGAATGGGATTCCTTTTTAAGACTATACTAAAAATTGGGTATGATACACAAAGCCACGTTCCGAACTAGCAAATATCGATATGAGGGCATTTATCGTTATTTCGTAAATCTACTTTTAACAAATTTTTTAGATGCACTATCGCTATTTGTCTAGTTGTTTCACATGAACCGGAAAACAGCAAAGTTTCATAGGCCTCAAAATTGAAAATGAAATTGTATAACACTAACTTACATGATCTATTGAGTTGATCTAATCTACCAATATAGAATCTCCTATTATACTATTTTTTTCCAAAAAACTTTTTTTGAGCTGAATTAATCAAAAATTAACTCAGAAACATTTTTTACTTAAGGAGCAAATACTGCTAATGAAATTTTGCAGTATAACTCTCTAAAGTTTGTATTTTATCATGGAATTTTTGACAATTTGATCCCTTTTCTCCATATTTTAGGCATGTGAACGATCCAATTTTTAATACGTAACTATTTTGCATAATTTATGAATTGCAAAGAAAGTAATCTTTACTCTTCAACTAATCTATATCGTAAATAATTTATGAAGTTGCAGTCTTTGCACTTACCTAATCTTTATTGTAAACGTGTGCTTTCTCTCATATTTTGTAATCATGAGGAAAAGTACTACTGAATAAAAAGATCAGAATGAGTGCCAATGGCTTACTGCTGTATTGTTCGTGCTAAATATCATGCCTTGTGATTTATGAATCATAATTAGTTAAATGTTTATAATTTGAGATTTATTAAATATATAAATTTCAAGTGTCATAGAAGCCAATCTTTTCTCTAGCATAAAAGATTTCAATTCAATCAATTCATTAATTCAATAAATTAACACAATCAATTCAATAATTCAATAAATTAATAAAATTATTACTAATTAGTTTATTTTACGTTAATCAGTCTATTTTATTTATCAAATTTTTGATTGCAAAATTTGCTCGTGTTGGTGATTTAAAACCTACTCCGATATCTGAGTATGAAATTAGGGGAATGTCTTTTGTTAAGTAATTTTAAGAGGGGAGGAAGTTAGTAATCATATCATGTCTATACGTCATATATAAATTTATGATTTGCTGACTTCTAATAAAAAGAAAATATGTAATAAACGGCACTCCCCTTATCGTATCACCAACACTCGAGCGATTTCTGATGTTCTATAAAATTCACAGAATTTTGCGCAATAAAAGTTTTTGTGGTTCATTATAATGACGGGGTCAGGCAACATCTAAAATCAGTCTCTGTCCAGTTTATTAGCTAGGCCATAAAAAACAGGTTAAAGCACAGGCCAGAAACTGATATCGGAATAATGAAAGAATTGTATTAAAGAATTTCTTGTAAAATATAAAAATACGTAAAAAAAATGAAAACAGTTAGTTACAGGGATACGCCAAAACGCTAAGGTTGTCTAAGGTTGTCTAAGGTTGTTAATGGACTCACTACATTATCGTTGAATTAAACTTTAAATTCTACTCCATTTTACTCTAAATGTGCTCCATGCTTTGCCTAGTACCAGAAGACCATAGACAGAAGTTTGGCTAATATAAGTCCATTGCGGGTAACTTATTTATAGGTTATAAATTACTTTTAAAGAACGTAACGTTTCACTAGTAAAAAAAAAAAAGTTTCTAAAGGATGATAGTCGATACGCCACTTCTATTGAACCATACAATCATTGATTAAACCATACCAATCCAAAAATGTTTAAGAATGTTCTGCTAAAACTGTTTGTCTTACTTTATACGTTACTTTTAAAATAAACTATTCAATTTTGGCAGGTATAACTTATTAGGGGTGAAAGATCCATATCGATATGCGTACGTATGTACTTAATCTTATATATCTAGTGCTAAGTCTATTGATTGTAATTAATTGTTTTATTTTTGGTCTTGATTTATTTATATTAAAATGCATTACATAATATATCTTTTTAGATTTAGCGAACTTGTTTACAAACTAGCTGATGTTTACGAAATCGTCCCATTAACAAGTATAAAAATGCTTCACTACACTATATATGTGTATATCTAATTCGTAAACACTTTTCGATTTGTGTTTCACTCCCAAGTACCCCTGTAATGTTCATCCATTTCCTATTGGTCCCATTACTTCCTGAACTGTAGAAAAGTAGAACTTCCCTGAATAACATTATAAAATATGAATGCTGGATGTCATCGAAAAAGATTCTCAATTTTGTATAACGTAACATTATTGTGCAGCTCCTGAAGTTGCATCTGCTTAATGCATGCGTGAAAATTTAATTCCAGGAGTTAATTTCAGTCAGTTGCATGCGTCTGAAGTTGCAACTTCAAGCAGGTATAAATAACAAAACAATATAACGTTACCAAATAGGTCACTGTTTCAAGCCAGTTCTTGGCCGCCCTTCTTGTGATCTACTGTATGTTACATCAATATTTATTAATTATTAATTTTTTTGTAGTGAATGAGAAACAGTGCAGTAACCCGCAATATCAATATTTATTAATTATTAATTTTTCTGTAGTGATGGTCCATGATGAACTATGAGAAACATTGCAGTAACCCGCTTTTTTTTCGGAAATGTTAATACTTTTAACCGAAGGTTCAGATATAATAGCCAATGAAATTTGTCTAACTAGTATAAAATTTCCGTACGATTAAAATTACGCCAGAAATCGCCTCAATTAAATGGAAATCTCCGACATTTTACAATACCGATAGATTTTGTGCATTGGTATGAAACAATATTTCATGTATATAATTTTTTTAAAAAATAAATAAAATTAAATATTACTATTATTTAATTATTTACAGTCAGACCTTTCAAAGTATATACGTATTTCGCTCTTATAATGCATGTGAAAAAAAGCTTTTGAATGGTATAGGGACTCTATTAATAAAATTGTAATAAAATTGATTATTAATCAATTGATTTATAAAAGGTGTCTTCCATATTAATTCACTAAGTACAATATATAGTTTCGGTCCGAATTATGCTAGTTGTAAACTAGAATTATTTTAATTCTAGCTGAATTAAATGGCTAAACGATTAAAATTTTAGGCGGCTCCAACCCTTATTTTTGATGAGGGGAGGTCGTTTATTATGTAATTTTTGGAAGGAGGAATCTATCATGATAAACTGTTGATTTTATCACTTGGGGAAAAGGGATGCTGGTCTTCTAATAGTACTATTAAATTATATTTTTTGGATTTTTTTTAAAAGAAAAATATTTTTGTGTACCTGCATCTTTTCAAAATATTTTAAATTTATAAATCAAGACGAAGTTATCTATTTTAAAGAAAACTTATTAGTTTACACGTAGTGTTTATACACTAGGGTTGTGGGCACGGAAATTTTTTGCCATGCCTCTGGTCCTTCTAATGCCGTCAAAATTTTTGTACGCCGAGTTTTTACATATGTAAATTTTTTGAAAAAGGGCATGCCCATGAACATCGTGCCAGCAAACGCATTCACAAAAATCTCCCACGTGCTACTTCATGTGACTCTTGCGTTACCGATTTTTTATTGCTTTCATCATTCTTTTAGTGCTTTTTGCATCACTCTTTCAGTGCTTTTATAATGTTTAATTGATGCTGTTGTACTTACAACTAGGGGCGTAGGTGGCACTCTTTTATTAAGATATTATAAATGACTTAGCTACTTTTTAGATATTTGCATATTAGTTTAAAAGATTTAGATCTAATACTAAAAGGGTTGTTCTTTAGAATTCATATTTCCTTTGAAATACAATTTAACAAGAAAGCTTAGAAAGTTGAGAGTTGTATCTGAATTTTTCTATTTTACAAAGATGTATTAGCATCAGATCTTATAGATTGTAATAATGTTAACTAGATCAAAGCTATTAAGATTTGAGGACAAGTATTAATAAAAACTTAAAAAATATTATCTAATGAGGATAATATAATCATTTCTTCATAAATGTTAAGGAAACTGTAGATTTTTTGTCAGATTATTATGCTTCAAAAACATTCTAAAATAAAATGCTTTGTAGTTTATAACTTATTTAAATATCAAATACAATTCTTTGTTTCAGATAATCCAATATGTCCTTAGTGAAGTGGATAGGTTGTCAACTCCCAAGTGACAGGTCTAGAGTTCAAATCCCAGTGACAGTGAAAATTTGCAATTCTTTCTGTGTTATGGCTAACTGTCTTCCATAATTGGTTAGGATAGGATACTTGTAACTTGTGTTATACCAACATGACTGGAAGGTCTAAGGCACTCATACAACATTGTACAAGAGAACACAAACTGGTACTGGGCAGTGTGAACCCAAGATAAGTTCTTAGGCTGTGCTTTAACCTGTTTTTTATGGCCTAGCTAATAAACTGGACAGAGACT